GCGATAATACAGGTAATGAAGCTTGTAAGAAAATCAAAACCTTTATAAAAAGATGAAAAAAAAAATATTCTATGATTTTTAATCAAAAGAAAAATTTCAATTAAATATGTTACAAATAATTAATTGCAATCGATGACAAAATTTAATATTAGATCGATCATTAAATCATTAGATGATGATGTGCACCTTAATCTATATCGTAAATATATAACTTTTCTTCATTTCTTTATTTTATCACGGTATGTTAATTACATTCCAACGATAGAACAGTTTATAATTTTAGTACTATATTGATTAAATAATCAATTACATTAAATAACATTTGTGATATTTAAAATCCGTTGATATTAATGGATTTGTATGTTAAATATACTTTTTTCTTCATTCAATTTCTGTCACAAGCATGTGTTAATTGTATTTGGTAATAAATTGCTCAATCGATTATTTGATAACAATTGAAGTCTATCGAGTAACGAGTTTCTAAAACTTCATAATTTTCTTTACTTCTTTATTTCATTACACATACACGTACACATTAACAGCATTTAATAATGGACAATTTACAATTATAATACCAAATTAATTAATCTAATTAATTAATTAATTTAAAACCTATTGATTTAACATTTGTATCTTGAATAATTTCTTTTTCCTTTTGATTTGCTGTAAGAATAAATTAATTTTATTTGATAACAAAATAAAATTTATAATTTTTCTAAATCGATTATAACAATTAAAACGTGTCGACAGAAAGTTAACGAATTCCTGTATTAACTTAACTTTTCTGGTTCTTTATTTAATTTGTCGTTTCTATCGAGATTTCTCCACAATTTACTATCGTACAATTTTAATTAGTTCTTCTACCCTTCCTTCATTCTGTCTGGGTGATATCTTTCGCAATAAATTCCTTGGAGGGGAGGAGATTTAATCGGTATTATTAAAATTGATTATCGATTTATTAGTAGGAAAATGTAATTCCCGCTTTGGGTCGCTACGTTTCAAGGCCGTAAAAATAACGGCACGTGGCTGCTGGTAAAAACGAATTGTTATCGAGAGTTTATATATAAATTAAAAAATTATTAAATTTAAAAATCCCGTCTTGATCGAAAAATGTCCACCGATCCTCGGTCTGTACACACAAGGCCTGTATTTTATAGCTCAACTTCCTGCGCTACACTTCTTTTCTCTTTTTTTCTCCAATGTGGGAGAAGTTTAACTAAAAAAAGAAGAAAGAAAAACAAGCCACGTATTTATTCAATTAGTACCTTCGGTCATAGATAGCAGCGGCAGACAGCGAATACAGTAACGGCATCTTTGAGCGATTTGACGAACCATATTTATCATTCATGCACAGTATTTTTATTGTGTTGCACGACGGCGAAGCTATACGTTTGACGTAACGTCTCAACGACGACGTGTGTTCTGATTCATTTACGAGACTCCTCGACATACAAGATGAGCATCGCGAGATAATTTTATGGTAATAAAGTGTATTATTCATATTCGAATATATGCAAAAGGCATCATGCACAAGCAAAGAAATCTCCAACGCTACGTCAAAATTGATGTAGAGAAAGAGTTGGGTGGTTGAGGAGGGGAGGGGAAGAGGGAAGAATCGAGGGGAAGATCGAAGAATTCTTTTATTTTCAATAACGCGAGGTTTACCGTACATGTCATTGCCGAAGTCACGATATCCTCCTTCTCCGATGCGATAATCGAAGACTGATAGCGTGATGATGTAACCGGCCGATGAGCCAGCGCTTCGCGTCGTATGACGTTTCTCTGATTTTAATGCATCAACGTTAATGCGATGTAGATGTCGTCCGGATAATTATTTTAGCGCGCACATGTAGAATTGGCAATCGGTGCGTTTGACCTCCGCTTCCTCTTTCTTTTCTCTTCTCTCTCTCTTCTTTTCTATCATATATATGCACATATATATATGTATAATTTCAAGTGTTGTGTACTTTGCATTCACAGATTATTAAAGAGCTTCATTCAAAAGTTTTGGACAATAAGAAAGAGGACAAGAAGTAGAAAGTATTATTTCTGACAAGTAATAAGATGTTTTGTTTTTTTTTTCAGACTATATCCATAGGACGAGTATGTGCAGAAAGAAAGTTCGAAGTGACAGACAATTCGACAACGTGGATTATACACAACTTACAGAAACCGATAATGGTTTCTTTGATTCACAGGTAAATAAAAAAAAGAATACAACTCAACATTATGAGACGATGTAGTTTATTAGAATTATTATTGTTTATTATCTAATCTTAATCTTCTTTATTGGGTATTGATGTGAGTAGTCCAAGTTAGTCATACATAGATAACACGATAGATTTTTTTTTTAAAGCAAAGCTATATTTGCAATTGATATTATATAAAATAATAAAAAATAAAGATAATCTATTATGGATAACTTCTCATCTCTTCTCCAATTTAAGGAGAATTTAACAAAATTTAACAAAAATTGATATTAAGAGTCATTAGACTACTAATTTAACAAAATAACATACAGTAAAACATTATCTTAATTAGCAAAACATTTTAATATCATATTTCAATTAGCAAAAGCAATTTCTTTTTTTATTTCAGTTTGTAAGTCCACCAGTGAAGATACCATGGAAAGCTATCACATTAGCAGCTCTCCTATTCGTTGGAGGAACTATTATGCTCATTATGGGTAGCCTGATTGTGAGTGGACACATTGATTCAAAAGTAAGATTTTATTGCTATGAATTATATAAAATTACATTGTCTATCTCTTTTCAAATAATCTTCAGCGAGTATACAAGTATGAAATAATCTCTTATCTCCAATCTTGTCCAATAGATAAATTTAAAGATATAAACCTTGTATTACTTTAATATCTATCGCATTATGTTCTGATCATGTTGCAGTATTCAGATCGAATGTGGCCAGTGATAATCTTAGGGGCCTTGATGTTTATACCAGGGGCTTATCACATGAGGGTAGCTATTTTAGCATATCAAAAAGTACCTGGTTATTCTTTTGATGACATACCTGAATTTGATTAAGATTTATGTATATGTGCACATAGTACTTATTTATTGATTCCAATTTATTGTATTAAACAAATCAGATAAGGATTTTTTTTATTTAGTAAATTAAGTTACATATAAAAAAAATATATATATATATAGTAATATATATTTTTTTTGTGCCGATATTTTTTTTGTATAGGCAAAGTAGAGTGGAATGAATACATCTCTAGCGATTCATGACCATTACAAGCGTGTTCCCTTTATCAACCAAATATCTTTTTTACTTGCACGAATGTCAAAAAATGCAATGAAATATTGAATTATTGAAAACACAAAAAAATTTTAAAATAAATTTATAAAAGCAGCTGTGATTGAATTTGTATTTATTATGAAACTTTGAAATTATATAATTTGTTTATATGTTCACACATATTATTCTCTTATACCTGATAAATATATATTAATGTAAATTAATTATGCATTTATTTACTTATAACTTTATTTATTATATATAAATTTATACATAGAGTAAATACATTTGATGAGTTCAGATATAATAACAATATTCATATATAAGATCATATGTGATGTATGTCTGTTTATGTTTCTACATAATATTGTTAAATTACAAAATATAAATTGTCATGATTGTAAAAAATAATAACTAAAAATCAACTTTGTTATTCAATATCTCACATAATATAGAAATTACATAAAAAATTGTAAAATTGTAAAATATAATATAAATTGAAAATCATGATATATTTTCTAAACATTTTGTGCGTACTATTTTTATATTAATATCTAATTCTAATAATTAAAAAATTGTTTTAATATAAATATATATAAATATAATTTAAATATATACTTAAAGCATAAAAAAATGCTCTGCGTTATCAAATAAGAGCTCTCGAATTTTTTGGGATAATAAAACAATATTTCATTTATAATTTTAAAGTACGCATTAAAAGTTCTAATCTCTTGTTTGAAATAATGTACTATTGTTCAAAGATGGATACAAGTATAACTTTAATTACAATGTTCAGTCTTTAAATAATTTATGAGACTTTTGCTTTGTAGTTTATACATTCTGTTACTAATTTTATCTTTCATTAATAATATAGGCGGGTCAAATCGTTTTTTCAAAACATTTCTAATTAATGTCTTTGTATTTGTAATAACTTTGTTATTATAATAGGTCTGCCATTCTGCACTATAAAATTGTTTATTATTCAATTTTACCTGCAAATTAATATTTAAATGTATGATGTGAATAACTAAGAAATAGAAAAGATATTAATATTAATATGTACTTATTATTATACTAGGTGTATAAAATATTCTAAATATAATTTGTAAGAATAAAAAGTTTTTACCTCCATGATAAAGTATACTCTGATTTGTTTGGTAAATTCAATTGCATGTCCACAATTTAACACAATAATTTTTAATAATTGCGAAAACGCCAGATATATCTCTTCTTCCGTTAAATCAGAATTTATAATTATATATGTTATTGGCCATAACTATATTAAATAGATGAATGAATACATTAAGAATTTCTATTAATCTAAAAGTTTCTAAGATATTAAAAAAAATAAAAACAGAATATTAAAAAGAAATAAAAAAGAAAAATATTTTTCATAAATTAATTTGTAGTTAGATTTTTACTTTATTACATTACTCTGTAAATGAAACCAATATATTTACCTTCACAGTTGAGTAAATACCTAAACCTTCAGCATAATTATATATCTGCTTGGCTATATTTTCATCCACATGAATTAATGTTGAAGTTAATGCTCGACATGTTTTTGTACTTAACATAAAAGTATACTTCAGTATTAAGTTGGCCATCTCTATGATTAAACTCTTATCTTCATTTAATAAAATTAATATTATTAACTTGTCCACATAACGAGACAAATCTAAAAATAATAAAAGAGGATAAGTTTTATAAATATTGAAGATATTGATATAATTGTATAATAATTAATCCGTGACATATGATAATATGAATAACGAAAAAATGCATTTAAAGTTTTACTTTACCTATTGGATAATATTGACTGCTTTGATCTTTAAGCAAAAATTGAAAAAGGAAGAAAGCACGTTTAACAAATTCACTACAAAATGAATCCAATAGGATGAGCATTATTTTGCTTCTTACATATTCGTCATTAATGGTACTTTTAACATACCATTTATCACGACTCGTATATATAATATTTTTGTCTGAAAAAATTAATGTAACATGATATATGAGATATATTAACATAAAATGAGTGAAAAAATAATTTGAAATGTATTGGTTTTTTGTAAATCATAACAAATTAATTTATATTTATAAAAATCACAATATAAAAGAATTTAATATTATGTGGTTATTTTTATATTTATATATTTTTCCAATATATAATATTTAGCCAATTTTCCAATATAATATAATATTTTTCATGATGTATTGATATCATTTACAAAAAAAAAAGATTGATTTGCAAAAAACTCACTTTTAAGTAAATCACATGCTTCTACTGCCTTCTTGTTAGCTAAATAAATTTCAGCTGATAGCAAGAAATATTGAGCATTATATGGTAAATCGTATATTTTAAGCGATTGAATAAACCATAGTGCAAGCCCCCAGGCTTCCTTGTCCACTAAATTTGTCAAAATGTTTAAGCTTATGTCAAACAAGATTTTGCCTAGAATGTTGAAGACATCCAGTTGGACTGTAAAGTCCAAAATGAGAATTAGGTAAAATTGTAAATAAAATTTGTAGTCTCTAAAGTTCATTCACATTTTATTTTATTATAATATATTACAATGTCATATTACATAAAATATATTTATATTATTATTTAAGTCATATACTGTAAGTTACTCAATATAAACAAAGAATATTCCTGTTATAATTTATATATTAAATAAAAAAAATATTTCAAATTATTATTAAATAAAAAAAGCTGCAGAAAAACCTTAGCATAAAATTATTTATTTTTGATTATATGTAACTATTGATGCTTAAAATCTATAAAATAATATGTTACATGCATCTGTTTATATATAAGGGGTATTTTAGAATCATAATAATAATTTGTAGATGCAGAACATCCTCATATAAGAACTATTTGATTACGAAAATAAAATATATATAAAAAAAATGGAGAAAACAATTTCACTAAAGAGAAAGTGTGTCATATACCTTATAATATATATTTTATATCATTCGAAAATGTATCAGTAGTAAAATATTTATTACCTGTACGACGTATGATGTTTGCTAAGTGGTACTCTGATCGTGTTACCTCTTTTCGAAGTATATTACAACAGGAACGAATAAATAATGGAGTTTCATTTTGTTTTTCTACATATTTTTTCAAGATATCAATAACATAATCATAATCCTTATGTTCAAGTCCCTTTTTAAATCTATCTAAATCCACATAAAATTTCCAGAGATGTTCATGATCTCTATAAACGGATCGTGCTTCAGGTAAATTATCTACAAAAAAATATATTCATATTATGTATAAATATCAATTATATGTATATTCCAAATATTCTCTATAAAATATATACATATTTTTCAACAATAAACTAAATAGAATAATTACCGATAAATTGCATTATATAAGTTCTCTCTTTTATTTCGGGTGTACAGTCCTCACCTTCATCTGCAATTTCATTTATAAAAGTATCATTGCAAATCGATTGTTGAGAGTTTGTACTTCCATCGGGAGAAGCGATGGTTTCCGACGCTAAATTTTCTCCAAAATTTTGAATGATAGAATGAGAACTTTCTGCAGTTTTCTTGGTCAACAAATTCTTAAAGCGTTCTATTATATTTTTATCCAACGTTGATATTATCTCTGGAGGAGTTTTACTTATTAAGTTATCATTAATATCTTGAATATCAACTGTTTTTCATTTTTTATGCATTCTATTAATACTTGCACGATGATATATTTATCCGATGGCAATCTCAAAATTAAAGGTTTTAGGGTATCCCAATATTCACCACATTTTACATATTTTTCTATACATGTGAATATGAATATGAGATTGTTTGTAGTAGTCGCAGTATGTTCTATGAGATGATTCACGATCATTCTTAATGACATCTTTTTATTAATTAATTCTTTTATAACTTTATGAGTTAGACTTTTTTTTTTCTTAATTAAGTGATCATTCATTTCTAACCTATTATAAAATGTCTGGTATGTTATTAAAATCTGATCAACAGTTAATCTTGATAATAATGTTTCATAAAAAAAACAGAAACCATGATATGATGCTTCTTGAATTATATCCAATATTGTTTTGAAATCTTGTGAACAAACTCTATTAATGAGATACTGCAACTAGAAATAAAATTTTATATAAAATTAATATAAGTGGCTATATACAATAAATAAAATAATGGCAAAACATATACCTACATCGTGTCCGTATATACATGGTGTATTGTAACACAAATTTTTTCTTAACATCGAAAAACAATATCCATTGAAAAATCTTTTGTTTTGAAAATTTTGACATTTTGATATTTCCTCGTTTTTGATTTCAGGTACTAATTTTGATGTAGTTGCGATCCCAAGCATATCTTCCGTACACATAATCTGTTCCTTTTGATCATTAGATTCTTTATTTACTTTATTTACTTCATCAATTTTATTAGACGTTATTATACTATTTTCTATACATTTTGCATACTCCTTATTAAATTCTGTTGCATTCTTTTTCACATATTGATCAAAACTTTTAGCAGTCATCATATACGGCAAATCAGAATGAATAAATTTGTATGGTTTCTTCTCTTCACTTAATGTTTTTTCAAATCTATAAAAACAATTAAAGTTTTAGTTATTAGGAATGATTTGTACATTACTATCCAGTTACAAAATATAAAAAATATTTAAAAGATTATTAACATTGTAAAAAATAACTTATAATTAAATCATGTACTATCAGACTTCCTCTGATCTACACTTACATAGTCGTATCAAATGATTCTGCAAAAAGAGAAATGCAATCATCATCTTCTGTGCTATTCATATGCTGTTGTATATTAGTATTTTTATGAATACTTGTATCTAATTGATTTGCGTGTTGCATCTTTTCTGATGAGCTTTGTAATGTGCTAAGATGATGCGACTGATCATTGCAAATCGAATCTTTTTGGATATAATCTTTTTCTTCTTCTTCAGATGAACTTTTACTAGAAGTTGATTCTTCAAAAGAAAGTCTTCTGCAAACTCTCTTTTTGATATTTCTTGTACTAACTAAAACACTTTTATTATTTAAATTTGTCTGCTCAGATTCTGCATTATTTCCATTATTAAATTTGTTCCCAAATGTAGGTCGATAAGGAAATTGTTTTGTGTCTTTTTTATTCAAATATTCACGCAAATCCATATCTTCCTCAAAATCACTTTTTTTAGATATATTTGATTTCGCTGTTACCACTGTATTAATTTTTGGAACATCATTAAGTTGTTTATTTATCAATTGAAAACATAGATTATGCTGCCAATTAGTTCTATTTAATTTCCTTTTTTTATTGTTCTGCTTAGTATCTGTAGTATTTTCTTCTGCAATACGTTTTTGACCCTGTTTCACAATCTTTTCTTTATTTTGTAATTTATTTTCTTCTCTTAATTTATCTTGTAATTTATTGCTGTCATGTACTCTATCATTATCCAATTTGTTTGATTGTTCTTGAAGTTTTGAAGTGTAATTTTCATATACTTCAGTTGTATCACTGTTAGTATCACGACTGTTTGCTTTATTATAAATATCATTTTTTATTTTCTTTAAAGAATTTAAGATTTTATCATCAATTACTTTATGATGGAGCTTACCATTAGTTAAATTTTTATCTTTCATATCAATATTATTGTTAGGAATGGACTTTGATATTTTTGACTTATCAATTGACTTATCATTAATTTTAGATATATAACAGTCTTTTTTTCCAAGTATATTTATAGATTTAAGTGTCTTATCAGTATGCAAAATTTGCTTTGTATTGTTATCAATATCATTTTGTTTCAAAGAAACCTGTTCAGAAACACTGCTCTGCAAACTTTCATCACTATTCTTTTTTAAAATCTTTACCATACCCTTAGGTAAAATATGGTGGTCAGTTATTATTGGTAGATTTTTTGATTTTTCTGTTTTGATTATCTTATCTATACATTGTTTTTCAATATACACTTTAAGATCAGGTAGTTTATTAATATAATCGATTTTGGATGTTTTTGAATAGATGGAATTTAATTTGTCAAATGATTCTGAAGCATTGATTTTTTGCATATTATTGACAGCTAAAGATATAGGTTTGTTGCTCGATTTTTTATTTGCATCCTTTTGATTTTGGTTTTCTTTCATCTTATCACATGAAATGAAAGTATTTTCAGACAACATTGGTAAAGATTTAAAAACTCAACTTAATATCCTCGGCTGTTTTATTTATAGAACTTTTCTGTTTTATATCTGTGTTGATTTGATTCAATATTGCTGCAAAGATATGTTATTGTTTATGCTTTAAACTGGATTTTCAGATCTTTTCTCTTTTCATATTATTTTATAAGATTAATGATATTTCAATAAATATACCTTTACTGTTTTGATGTTGCTTTTTACATTGTTCCTGAATTGATCCATTGGTAACATAAATTGTATATAAATCATTACTTTTCATGATGGATTCACTGGATATTTCTTGGCTCTTGCTATTATGATCAATATAATGATCAGTTAAATCTTCCTCTTTCAAATAATTTTCATCAACTGAACTATCTTGAGTTAATTTTATAGCTGCAACTATTTATATAAAAAAACAGATAAAACAAACAATACATTGATAAGACAAACAGATAAGATAAACAGATAAAATAAAACTTTATAATATATATATATATAAATTATAATATACAAGTTTAACAGAATTACCTGTTTTCTTATAGGATTTTTTACATTCCCAGTTCAGTTTTTTCCTCCGTTTTCTAATACCAGAAAGCTTTTTATTATTTTTTGATACAGTTGATTTTTGTATCTGATTATAGTAAGAAGATGAGCTAGTAGATGTAGTAGGTTCATAATAATTTTTACTTGAAAATGACTCAATACTGGTTTCATCTTGTAGCTCCTGTTTCAGATGTATAAAATCTGATTGAATTATTTCGCAATATTGATTGTTTAATGATATGTCTCTATTTATTCCTATATTCTTACTGTTTAACTGAAAATTAACATTTTTACTTTCTTTTTTTGCCAATTTTGTCGAATTTCTTTTAGTTATATAAGAAATCTTGTCCTCTGAAGTATTATCTTCCTGCACAATTTCTTTTAACACATTATTAGAATTTTTAGATGTGTTAATAGATAATGTATGTTTTGATGATTTTGTTTTTCTTAACAATAAATGCAATTGATAAAATTGAACTAAATCTTTATCTAAAGCAATATCACGCAATTGAACTGTACATGGGCGAAGATTTTTTTAATAATTTTAATTTATCATTATTTTTCGTTTCATTATTGCTTTTTCTGGTAATTTTCGTTTTATCACTTTTTTTTGTCATTTTGTTTGTAATTATTACTTAATAGTATTAACATATGTTGAGTAACACTTTGTGAAAACCACTTCTCAAACCTCTTCTCCACTAAATAAAATCCTTTATACGTCTGACTCGAAGGCACATACTTTCATGACCCTAATGTTTCTTTTTATCCAGAAACATCGTTATACAGTACTTTTCTTCACTACATCATAGACGAATTGTGTGAAAGCGCTGCAGATATATGCAAGCCAACCTAATAAAAATACATCGTTACATCTTTAATTAAAACTGAACGAAACAAATAACAAAAAATTATTTGAAAAAAAAAAACCTATTATAGTAGGATAGGAAAAGGATACATCGAAAGAATTATCATGCGTAATGAATGCGGTGATGAGGTGATCTTTCCATAATTTACCGTTCAAGTTCATCTTTTCCATCCTGTAGTTTTTTTGCACACTGACACAATATTATTTTTATATTTGTTACCTGCACACAGGAATGCACGCGTATGTACGTCACGTTCATATATGTCTCGTTCAAACGTCCTCAGAAAGCCGACGAAGCCAGTAACAAAACGCGGGTCACATTACCGCATCCCGTAGAAAAGTCCATGCTTCGCCGCGAAAATATTCAAGTCTTCACTTCGAGAATCGCAAGCGTTAGTATCGATACCCAGCGACGGCAGCGCCATCGGCTTAAGCTACGTTCCATTTGACGCTCGCGATATTTTTGTGGGAACGTCTTTATCTTTAGGTCTGTTTTTTTTTCAGAATCCCTAGGGATTCTAGTTCTTTTCAGCTGAATTTCATGCATATAGTTCATCGTTTCTCCTTCTCTTTACATGTCGGAGAGAAAAGGAAGGAGGATAAAAGGTGGAGAAAAAAAGTCTATCTAAAAAACAGTAGATCTTTCATTTTAGGGAAAAGCTGTAAATTGATTGGTTATTGCAATACTTGAGACGTTGTGTTCTAGAGGCAAGGACCAATGGCCACGTTCAGAAGAATCATCAGTTTCGAATAGAGGGAGGTATGTGTAGCTTAGTACGCCATCTGGTATCTGTGTGGATCTTCATTTCTTGAACTTGGTAACAAGCTCTGCATTTATCGATAATTATTGATATTAATATTTGTGTGTGTGTGTGTGTGTGTGTGTGTGTGTGTGTGTGTGTGTGTGTGTGTGTGGTGGTGGTGTGATATATA